AGCTTTCAGGAAAGTCTACTATATAATCAGTCTACAAGGTGGCGAACAGCTTTTATTCTTCCTTTCAATTTAAATTAGGCAAAAGCAAGTAAAGCTACCTTCTCCCGCTTAGCATCTGCAGCGGGTGTTTTCGACAGGGTCTCCATTGAAATGCAGTCAGTCCAGTCTGCTTCGTTTGTGCTAAAACCTGGGAGTAAAATGTGCAAAAGTACGCTCACGTTAAGTAAAGTAAAGCTATAACCCAGGTATTTTTAGTTACGACTGACAGCTTGCTAGCTAAGCGCCGTTTCTAGAGCTGCCAGTGCTAATATGGGTTGAGAAAAACATCACTTGTCAAGACACACAGTCCAGGGTTTCTGAGGGGTTTGAATGATATGTATCCCAGCCTGGCCCGCCGGGCGCTGCGCACATTAATTACCGTTATGTTAGAGGGGAAAGCGGGACCGGCGCGCCTTTGTGGACAAAACAAACGCAAACATCATCGCTTACCGGAAATGTAGTTTTTCCACCGCGGAGATTCTCCAGTTTCAAACGGCGACGCTTCAGAATAAAACTACAATAACTCTGAGCCCTCAATGAGTGGCGTGGGGTGGGTTTGCAAGACTTGCCGGGATTTTGATGGCAAGTTGACCAGCCCTGGAAGTTAAGAGGAGGTGGGTTGCAAGCAATGTTTGTCCCACGTTGTAACGTTAGCTTATAGCATACACAACAAATAGTAACTGCCTAAGGTTTAACAGGTTGACTGAGCGATATGTAAAATATTAACATGGCGTAGTTCGTGTTAGCATTGATAACTTGCACTCAAGGGTTGTTGAGCGAAAATGAAAGCTAACGTTAACTTCACTCACCATCCTTTCAGCAATTTACCCTTCAGTTAGAAGTTGTTATTAACTACTACTTTACGAACTGGTTATTAGTTAACTATGCTGACTAACTCAAAATATAGCTAACACGATGTGTTGTAATGTCTCGTAAAATGAGTTGTTTTGGTGACCCCGTTTTTGTAAACATGGCAGTGTATTAGAAATCCTGACACAAAAAATTATGCTTCTACAACATTTCTAATTTACTTTTTAATGATATTGGGGATTTCCTAGCGTCTCAGTTATGTTATCAACTTTTCTGTAATATCTGTGTTGCATCTCTGAAATTTGTCACTTTGTAATTTTCTACAGGAAAGCCTTTTGTGAGGTGTAATCAGATCTCCCATCTTCCTACATCATCATGTCGTCTGAGAACACCTTGTGAGTCTGTTTGAATGATACATTTAAAACCAAAAACATTGTGATTGTGCTGGTTGGTTATTCGCAAAGCTCTTGAATGAATCTCCCAATGAATAATGAATAACATTTATATCAAGGTAATGCACAATCCAGTTAAAAGCAAACTGCATTTGGCCTCAAGTATATTCAGGTTCTGAAAAATCTACAAGCTACCTACAAGCTGTGTTTATTCTTAATGACTGTACTGTGTGTGGTTTTTGTAGGGATGATGAGGAAACCTTCAAGATCTTGATCGCTACAGATGTTCACCTCGGTTACCTTGAGAAGGATGCTATCCGTGGCAATGATTCTTATAACACACTGAAAGAGATCCTGAATTGTGCCAAGACAAATAAGGTACATGCAAATTGATAGATATGGATGAGTGTGAGGGTTTGTTTATGTTTATCTCTGTCTGCTTGAATGGACTTCACCAAAATCTACCTGTTCTAAATGCCCACTGCTTTCTTTGTGCTTATTTGTTGGCTTACAGGTAGATTTCATCCTGCTGGGTGGCGATTTGTTCCATGACAACAAGCCGTCGCGCCGATGCCTCCACAACTGTATCACCATGCTAAGACAATACTGCATGGGAGACTCTCCTATACACTTTAACATTCTCAGTGATCAGACTGTCAACTTCAACACGACCCAGTCAGTTCTGCTGTGTTTGTAGTGGTCATTCTTGCGAAAACATTGTCTTCTTGTTGAATGAATGTTATATTAATTCTGTTATACACGTGTTGTAGGTTCCCCTGGGTTAACTATCAGGATGAAAACTTGAACATCTCTATTCCTGTATTCAGCATTCACGGTAACCATGATGACCCAACAGGGGTGAGTTGCTTCTAGCATGAAGGAAAATGATTAGACACAAGATCTTAATGTGCAAGTGTGTCATAGTAACTTTATAATTTATTTTCCTCTAGGCTGAAGGTTTGTGTGCATTGGACCTGCTGGGTGCTTCTGGACTCATCAATCACTTTGGTCACTCCAACTCAGTGGAGAGGATAGAAATTAGTCCCATCCTCATGCAGAAAGGAAACACCAAGCTGGCCTTATATGGTCTTGGTAAGGAAGTGTGTTTTGTGTAATCTTTGACTGCATTCTTCTAGGATTAATACAAATGGTTGTCTCAATCTACAATTTGTGTCTGTGTGTAGGTTCGATCCCAGATGAGCGCTTGTACAGGATGTTTGTCAACAAACAGGTAACTATGCTTCGCCCCAAAGAAGACCCAGATGAATGGTTTAACCTCTTCGCCATCCACCAGAACAGGTGGGTGCATGCATGTGTACGTTTTTGAAAAGTCTAATCTATTAGGAGGGAAGACCATGTACATTTTTGTCACACAGGACCAAATGCCAAAACATTAGAGATACATGTAACCGACAGACTGTCAGACTGTCAGTCAGAATAGAAGATGTGTGCAGGGAAGGATTTTTTGAGAGGGTGATTAATGGGGCGACTGAATATTTTCCTCACGAAGTCAGGCCGAGTGTGTCATTTTAGGATTTAAACAACTATATTTTCCAATGTTACTCTACCTCCTGTTTGTTTAATTGTTATGTATTTCCACTTTTTATTTCTAGGAGTAAGCACGGACCCACAAACTACATTCCCGAGCAGTTCCTGGATGACTTTCTTGACTTGGTGGTGTGGGGTCACGAGCACGAGTGTTTGATTACACCAACCAGAAATGAACAGCAGCTCTTCTATGTGACACAGCCTGGCAGCTCCGTTGCCACCTCCCTGTCCCCTGGAGAGGCCACCAAGAAGTACAAATAAACACTTACACACAGTAAATGATAGTCTCCATATTGTGAGTCTGTTTTGAAGTGAGTATGAAGTAGCCAAACTACTCTGTTTGTGTGTATCTAGACACATAGGGCTATTGAGGGTTAAAGGCCGTAAAAAGATGAACCTGGAAAAGATCCCTTTAAAGACGGTGCGTCAGTTCTTCATCCAGGATGTGGTGCTGGCAGACTACCAAGACCTCTTCACACCTGATACACCCCAGGTCACAAAGAAGGTGGAGAACTTGTGCCATGCAAAGGTAACGCTTAAAGTCACCATGAATCATACAGAGCCAGCCTTACATCTATTGTTTAGTCGTCTTAGCCTTCTTACGTCTTTCTCTCTTTCTTTCTGTCTGTCATTTCGTAGGTCACAGAGATGTTAGAAGAAGCTGAAAGAGAAAGACTTGGATGTCCACTCACCCCGGAGAAGCCTCTTATTCGCCTGAGGGTAAGATGGACACACTTGCAGCTTTGTGCGCACACCTTTATTTTCATGCTACATTCAAATTCTTCTGTTTTCTCCAGGTGGACTACAGTGGAGGCTTTGACACTTTCAACACTTCTCGCTTCAGTCAGAAGTTTGTGGATCGCGTAGCCAACCCGAAAGACATCATTCACTTTCTCAGACGGCGTGAGCAAAAGGAGGACATCAAAGGTCTGACACGCATTAAATCCACAGTTATGCATTCATAGATCGATGTGCAATATTGTCTATTTGACATGTTCCGATCTTTGTGCTTTTCAGACGAGATCAATGTTGACTACGGCAAACTGGTAAAAACCACAGCAGCTGAGGGGCTGAGAGTGGAGGACCTGGTTAAACAGTACTTTGAGGCAGCCGAACAGGTACCACACACACACACGGATTCATATTCACATACTTACAGGGCGTCATAACACTTACTTTTATCTACTGTGTATGTCTGCATATCTTCACAGACAGTGCAGCTGTCCCTTCTAACCGAGCAGGGCATGGGGAAGGCCATTCAGGAGTTTGTAGACAAAGACGAGAAGGACGCCATTGAGGAGCTGATCACTTACCAGTTGGAGAAGACACAGCGCCACCTGCAGGCCCGAGGAGTAACCACAGAGCAGGATATAGACACGGAGGTAAAGGGGGTGGGACTCGCATGGGAAGTAGGGGCAGATGAATTGGATGTGGTACGTCTTTATAAGAGTGTATGTTTTTACATTTTTAGATCCGGCGATTCAGAGACTCCAAAAAGAACACAACTGAGGAGGAGAATGAAATCAGAGAGGTAAGTATTGCATGTACACAAGCCTGAAATGTTGTGTTGCCTGTTGTATCTAACTATGTGTGTATCTCCCTGTTCTCAGGCTATCAACAGAGCCAAAGCTCACCGTTTGGAACGTGGCGAAAATCCTGGAGACAAGGACATATCTGATGATTTTGCTGATGTTGCTATGGACTCTGACGAAGGTTCAGTTGCGTTCCCTCCCCCCACGCGAGGCAGAGGGCGAGGAGGCAGGGCGCGGGGTGGCCGGGGAAGGGGGAGAGGTGAGTTATCTGCCATGAATATGAAGAGAACAATAAAGGCGCAGAGGAGATACACAATGGTAAATATATGATCCGAAGGTTTAGTCAAGAATGTAGGCTTGGTAGAGGGCAGTGACTCAGAGCAAATACACCACAGAGTGCCAGAGTGGCAGGTTACACCAAGAGGGAATAAGTGACAGAATGTGCATTTACTGTATGATGCCTAGCCTAGGCCAACATTGGGGGATTTAATAGTATAATAATAAAGACACTGACACTGTTCAGTCACACTCTTCCTAAATTCCAGCAGAGTGAAGTCAAAACTCTTGAGATCATGTTACACACTACGAAAGTATTAAAACCCAGCACTTCCTACAGCAGCTTCACATTAAACACATTCCAGAAAGGACCACTGTGACTTTCACTGTATACACTTATGAAGGAGCGGGTGATCTACAGTAATTAGGGGTTAATTGTTTTAGGACAATTTTATTTTAACCAGTTAATTGTTAACTTCAATCTGCATTTGTACATTTTTCACAGTTCACAAGCAGAACTGATTAGAGAAGGACCTCAAAATTCTTATTGTAATTTGTGTAATCTTCCAACCGCCAACACACAAAATAAGCTCTTTGACTGACATATGACACTAGGATGGCACAGAGACAGTTCTTTTTTTAAATAAGTTCACTTACTAAAAACAAAGGACTGTATATAATGATGTACATTGTATCATAGACTCTTCTCATCTATCCATCCAGGTGCAACTGCCTCTGAACCAAAGCCAGCCGGTCGGGGCCGTTCCCAGAAATCCTCAACAACCCAAAGCAGAAGCATTATGCAAGGTAGTGTGAAAATACGTGTGATGATCTGCAGACACACAAGTTAATGTTCTGTATATAACATGTCAGACGGAGAAATCACAGAGAATGCATAAAATATTATTTTGTTCTACCAGTGTATGAATCTGTTGGCTTTCGCCTTCAGTCCTCCCTCAATGTGTCTCTCTTCTCTCTTCCTTTTATACCTCATTCTTCAGCGTTTCAAGCTACACCCCAGAGATCATCTCGGACTGGATCCACCCCGTCTTACACAGCAGATGATGTAAGTCAAATGACGACACATGCAAACAGTAAAAGCACACCTCCCTATATATACATCTTTAAGTAAGCTGTACCATCCTCCAACCTTGCCTCTCATCTTTATCCATCTCCAGATAACCATTGATGACTCAGATGAAGATATACCGGTAGTGAAAGCAACCCGTCCCCCTTCAAAGTATGTTGGATTTGGTCTACAGTGTCATAGTACAGTCCTTCAAGAGAGAAAAAACCTCCACCAGCCGCATTTTAAAACTATTATGTCTTCCTCTTGCTTACCACAGACCTGCTCCGTCGTCATCCTTCACTAAGTACAGCTCTCAGAGCCAGAGCCAAAGCCAGTCATCAAGAGGAGTCGCATTTGATGACAGTGATGATGATGAGGTAAAAGACGATCAAGGAAAATGTTATAGCATGTATCTAGAGATTATATGATTTTTTACACCATTGGTTAAAAGGGACTTGACCTGTAAAGTGGGATTGCTTTGTAACCATATAGTTTTGTGGGATTTAAAACTTATGTGAATTCCTGTTTTCTGTGTAGGATTGTAATTAATCTCACATGAACTTAACTATACTTGATTATCTTAATTTTCCAGTTTTCCCAGACCATTTTGTAATCATTTTTCCATCTTAATTTCTTTTCTCTTGATACAGGATAACCCATTCAAAGGCCCCAGCCGTAGTTCACGGAGATAACCATGAGTGCATCTATCATGTAACACTTGTTAATGTTGATGTTCCCAAAAAAAATCTAGCAAGTGACTTGCTGCTGTGTTTTTCTGAAGGACAAAGTGTTCAGTGTCAAAGTTCATGTTTCAGTTTGCAAAGCACTGTCTTCCTAACAATAGATAATTAAGTTGATTAGCTACTGTTGCTTAGAATGAACCTATCCAATCAGTCAGGTTTGGTGAAAGGGTTTGGCTAAAAGGCTGTAAGGGGAGCAAAGTGGAGGTGGCTTTCAGACAAGACTTTGCAACCTCATTTGTTAGCCAGCACCTGAACTTACCAATTGGTGGAGCGCATCTGCTACTGTACAACAACACTGATCCATGTTGGGTTTTGTCATTGGAAATAATAAATGTTTTTTCATATATAATCAACAGTCTGTTTTTTAATTATAGTCTGCAAGGTTGTAGCTGCAGAGTCAAGCATTCTCACTCCCCACTTGGCTCTTTGTATTAGCCCTTTGTCTTCTGCTGTTTCACTTCTTATTGAACAACTTATTTATCTGATAGAAAGTTCACCGATGGAACCACATACTTTTTTCCTGCTGCCAAAACTGAAATGCCAAGTGTGTAAGGTGGATGTTAAAGGTGGAAAACTGGTCACACAGAAAATGACAGCTATCTACCACAGGGGGGCAGTATAATAAAGTTGAAGGTGCATTGCATTTTTCAAAATAAAGATCCCATTAAGATGCAGCACAGAAAGGCAGATACTTGGAAAACTTTTATTTAAAGTCAAAGTTTGAAGTTATTTTTTATTCATTCAATTATTAATTCAACTTAATTGCACAATACCGTGCCATTTTAAACCGAGTTCCACTGATGGAGTATGAAATTTGAGATGAAAATTTCCATTTGCATCATCAATTGCAATTTACATAAATTCCGTTCCCTGTAGTTCCTTTTGTTAACTTTTTTAGAGGGTGTATGGGCGTGGCCGCGGACGAAACTGAATGGAACGAGCAGAGATCCCGTTTCCAGCATATACACTTGTTCAAGTCAGTTGCAACAAAACAATTGTTCCAATTGCCAAGTTAAAGAAGAATGTCTTTATTATATATACACAGGTATATAAAAATTTACAAAATGTACCATATTTACAGACAAAAGTTATCAGCTACCGTGGCATTCACTATACTGTATACAAACCTTGAAAGAAATGCTATTCATGTCCAGCTAACCTTTAATATAATACAGTATAATACAATGTTATTTTTAAATGCAGAAGGGGCAATTCTTACTTACTTTGTGCAGGTCTCTATAGACCAGAGAATGATAAATAACCGTATTATTTTACTTTGCCACAAATGGAATAATTACTTTAAAATGGAGAAATAATGACAGTTGATGCTTTTGCCTGAGTGTACAATTGTACATACTATACTGCTTGTTTCTCACTTTTAAAGTTTAGGAAATTAGATATTTTTGTCTTTTTAGCTTAGTTTGAAGGCAAAAACTGCTCTGAATATTCTGGCTGCTGTGAGAGTTTTCTTAACGCACACTGGTTATATCTGATTTTATATCTGATTGCACTTTGAAACTCAACGTGGAGGCACTATAAACCCATAACTGTGATTTGAGTTATAGTCGTCAGTGCATTATTAGAATAGTTGAATCATCTTCACATACAGTAAGCTCAAGTAATTCTCACTTTCCACTTAAAGTGCTTATGAAAGTCAATTTGTGTTAAGAAACAAGCACACCATCTGTGCTGTAAAAAGGTGCATTTCCCCTTCAGGGGCACATCAGATCAACTGAATCAGCACCATAAAAGCATTAAACTCCTGCGCTTGGAGTGACTTTTACAATATCGGTGATATTAACCTGAGGCTTCACACTGACTTCTGCTGGCAATAGTATAGCACAGGTTCATCCTGTCCATCACCTTCCTTTACCATATGAACCCTCATATCACATTGCACACCTAAAATCTTAGCACACAGTAATAAAGTACATTATATCTGAGGTCTGCCAGTCTATTACGGTCCAAAATCTTCACAGTTAAAAACAGTTTATTGCCACGTCCTCGTGTCAATGGCAGTGATCAAAAATTCTATTTTCATTTGACATTATTCATGCTTTAAAAAAATGCATTAGTCAGTGAATTAGGTCTGTTGAATTACAACATCGTAAAAGCTAAAAACTGTCCAGACTGGCCAGCGACAGACAAAAAAACATAAATATACTTGTCCCCTGAGATAAGAACCTGAAATGGCACGAAATGGCACAAACCACACCTGAAAAAGTAAGTTTGTGTGAATTGTGTGTGTCTTTACATGTGCAGTGTTTTTGTGTATGGCTGTGTTAATCTGTGTTAATCTGTGTTGCGTGATCGATCTTCGACTTCCCCTTTCTCTCTGGCTGTCTCCCATGTCCAGTCAACCACATTGAAACAAACGGTTGTTTTAGTTTCACATTCTGTCCAAGGTAGACTGGACTGGAGTAGCTGCTCATCATGGCGGTAGACCTCAGGGGTTTTTCTGGAGAAGGAGGAAGTAAAAATGATCAGGACAGGCATTGTATGTATTGCAGTTCTTTTTTGTCTACATGTTATTAGAAGTTGTTTAGCCAAATAAACGTGACTCCTAGCTTTTCTGAAGCCTCACAGTCTTCTTCAGCAAATTAAGTTTGGTCAGTTCAATAAAAAGTTTGATACAGTTGAACTGATCAAACTCCAACCTCTTAAGGTAGACCTGTAATGTGGCTTAAAGCTACATAAAAAGCTAGTAAGTCGACCTTATGAACACAGACACATAGCATTTTCTGTATGCTGTACCTCAATGACTGTATAAATCCAGTTCAGCATCTCTTCAACGTTGCAATAGACACCTGGCCTTCCCTCCCGGGCACAGCCCACACCCCAGCTCACCACTCCTACCAGATGCCACTTAGAGGATGTGAAGTACACCAATGGACCCCCACTGTCCCCCTGGGATTCAGAACATTCAGAACACTTTTTAATATATATCCTCAACACACACATATCTTGAAATGGATTCAATTTAAAAAGGTAATACATTATAAATGTAGTTGTAGATTCAAATTATTATTGTCAGTAGTTACCTGGCAGGCATCCACTTTCCCCTCCAGGTAACCAGCACAGATCATCCTTGGGGTTATGGCACTACCATACACTGCGGGGCTGGAACACTTAGTCCGGTCTATCAGAGGGACAGAGGCCTTCTGTAGTGAAGGAGAAACCTTACCTGGAGACAGAACAAGGATGCAACGGTTGAGTTAGAGTGGTCACTTCAGAGTTTACTTTTCTTGTTTGTAAGGTGACGGCTGATTATGAGGAAAGTTAGTGTTAGGGTTTCTTACTGTTTTCCTTCAAATATCCCCAGCCAGTCACAACCATGGTGTCTTCAGCAGCAAGACCAAAGGCTTTGGGAGGTAGACAAACCGGCCTGCGGCTTACTGAAAGACAAGGAAAATGCATTCATTTTGAAAATTGTAGCCTTTAGGGTTCTTACTATTACTCTATTATTCATAGCTTTGGCGGTTTAAAAGGTACAGTTAGAGTTATCATTACAATGGCTCAATTTGACATATAGTGAAGGGTTTGTTTCATATATGCACCACTAGAGGGCAATAGAGTGAAGCCTACTGAATTTACTGTATGTCCTTACTTTCTTTAATTTCAGCTACAGACTCTACAAGGTCAATTAACCAGTATGCTAAATAATATACCAGTCAGTATAGGCAGTGATTGCTGTTAGTGTGTTTTAATGAGTATTAAATTAAACTAACCTCCCACTGAGATCGGGCTGCTTAGTCTCATCAGTGCTACGTCATAGTCATTTCGGGCTGCATCGTAGTCTCCGTTCAATATGATCCTGTCCACATAGGAACCCCCGAGTGTGCCCATGTATGTCCGGCCTGACACCACTCTCCAGCGACTTAGCTCCTTTTTACTGCTGCAAGGCCCAAAAGAAGAGAGCAAGTGTGAGTGTGTTCATGTATTACATGATTATTGCAAAGTAATTGGTATACATAGAAACTATACTGACCCAGTAAAGCAGTGGGCGGCAGTGACAACCCAATGCGGCGACACCAGCGAGCCTCCACATACATGGTTGCCTCCCTGCTGCAGGCTAACCTGCCAGGGCCAGTCCTCAATGAAAGCATCTGTACCCCCGACAATACGGTCCTGAGAGCCCACCTTTCCACAGTCTGATAAACAAAGTTATCTTGTTAATTCCAAAGATAGTTTTCTTTATTGTGGTTCATTTCAAACTAACTTTTATTTTATGTCTTTGTGGATTTATCCTTTTTAGATCCTTCTATTCAAACTGTAAAGGTCAGGTTAGACGAGTTTCTTTTCCTCCACAGACTCTTTTGATTTGTCTTTTGAACTACTGTCACATGTTGCTAAGAAAGAGCTTTTGCTGCTTACTGCAGACGTGTATGGGCCTGTTATTATGAAACTGCTCTCACAACCACGTCAACTTCCACCCACCACCCATGAGCCCCACTCTGCCTGGTTAAAAACTGTAAACAATGTTAGTGACAGGGGTTGCCATCTAAAAATAAAACTCACCTGAACAGGACAAAGAAACCACAGCTCCAGTTCTGCATACACTGCTGTTGGAAAAAAAAAAAGCAGTCATCAAATGCAATACACGTGTACCACAAATTAGTCAAACAGACAAAATACACAGTCAAATGTTGACCTAACTTCTCCCCTGTGCTGAACTTTGTCTCGGTTTCTGTTCTCCCCTGTGTAGGAGTGAAATACCTGTTTTGTTCACTTTCATATGGGATAAGACAGAGGGAACAAAAACTGGATTTTTTTGTCTTTTAGGAAGAGAAACTGTGAGGGACACATTTCATCTATACAAAAGACATATATGAACTAAAAGAGAAAACTAGATTTTTGTGGCAAAAAGAGAAAGCAATATAAAGGGGGAAGAGAGAATATGTGTATAATATGCTTTCTTTTTGAATACAATGGCCACTTTCTAGTTCAGCTCTCTGTCAACAGCTACGTCTTTGTTGGCCTTAACATAAAACTAATATTAAAAGCAACGGCACACAGTAGAAGTTTTCTATATGGATCAGATTCTTCAGATCTATGAGGAACTGACAAATAACGTCAGTTAGGAATTGGGAGGTTAAAAGTGTTTGATTTTCCTATTTGACGACAGATGTGTGGCCTCACTCACCGGTCAATGGTAGCCTGATGTATGGGTGTGGTCGTAGTCCCGGGCCTGACAGCTGTGAATGGTCCAGTTTTCATGGAAGGTATTAACTCGTCCACTGGGACACTGGCGCTATGAGGTTTACTGTAAAGACAGAGTTGAGATGATGTAAGACTTGATTTCAGGTCAAATAACAAGTCATTAAATTTGCAACACAATCTATTCATCCTGGGAGGGTGTGAACTCACTAAGTGTATCCCAGTTGTTTACACGCTGTCTGTGTGTGCTGCTCAGTCCACTCATCCGCACACACACTCCGCCAGCTTGAGCCAGGACTGTACACCTGTAGGACGTGCTGAGCCAAGGTGAGACGCACTGAAGGGAGGAGTGGCACAGAGAGGAGAGAAGAAAAAAAAAAAGGAAGGGGAGTCATCTTTTTGTTTTGCGTCTGTGATAACTACCGAGAAAGAGTCAGGTGTTCGTTTTACCTGGAAAGGTAGTGTTGACGGTAAAGCTTGACACACAGGTAATTTCATCCTCTCCTCCAATACAATCGTTGTTCCCATCACAGGCTTTGTCTATTGGGATAAACTTCACTGAACGCTTGCAGAAGAAATATTTGCTGTCAATCAGCTGCTTAACTGCAGGGAACAGGAGTGGCAGAGAAGGACAGAACACAGGTTAGAACAGCATTTTGCTTGGATGGTTTGATTAACAGTGATTAACTGTTGTGAATTTTACATCTTTGTTTTTCTAGTATTCAGTGCCATCCTGTAGTGTCTTTCGAGGAGGAAACTACTGTCGAGAAATATTACTTACTGAAATATGCTGCGGTGGCCAGTATACCCAGTACCACCACAACTGTCAGGACAGTCAGCAACACTCTCTTCCAATTAGACGCCTTGTCTTTCTGAGTCTTTGGAGCCGTCATGGGCCTTCTGTGGCGGCCTGGCCGTGGAACCACTGGAAGGAAGTGGAAGGAAAATCACACAGCAATGGAGAGAATTAATCAAGGGGATAAAGTGTGCACTGAATGTGCTGTAAGTTCTCAGTACCATCCCACACTACCGTATTTAGCGCGACATTCATCATCTTCCATCAGAGCAACATACATTAACATGAAAACAAAACCAACTAACACCTTACCTGGCTGCCTGGGATTCAATGGTCTAGTGCTGTCCTCAGGCACCTGGGCGATTGTCTGAAGAAGGAATAACAAAGACACACGAGACAAGATGAACACAGGTGTCGAAACAATGTGCATTGCAGCATGGCTTGCGAGAATATACAGTGCGTGTGTGTGTTTAAATGGAGGTGGAGGTTTGTGGTTGAGCGTGCACGTTTCCATGTAATTATCTAGGATTGTATGGTCTGCTTGCATTGAGTATTTGTGCCTATTTTCAGGTGGTTGTTCAAATATGTGTGAGAATAAATTGCATCTATTCGTTCAAAAATGCGACACAACTTAGAAAACTTGAGCCATGTGGTAAAACAGGTATATAATCTAATGGACATCCACGGGAGGAGCCACAAAGGATTACCAATTGTGCACACATGGAACATAGTGTGCCACTATGAGTTGAGAGGTTACACCCATGTGCATACGGCAGTCCATCCATATGCTGCAGGCAGTTCCCATCTCCTGTTATCAGACAGACCCTCACCTCACCATGAAAGTGATAGACTCTACTGAGTTCTTCCTTCAAATGCAATTGATATTGTACTGTAATTTTACAGGATGTTATAGAGAGGGGTGGCCGCCCTTCAACCACAGGAGCCAGGTTAAAGACCAATGCTACTCAAGTATCCTTGAGCAAGATATCAGCTGTAACCCTAGCTGTAGAATTACATGCAGTACATTTCAGTCTGTATTGTGTGTAGGAAAAATACAAAATGAATGATAGTAGTTTTGGTCCAATTACAACCCTTTTGGTTTTGACCCTTTTAAACACATAAGAATTAACATATTTTCACTTGAAAAATAAAAATGAGGCCTGAAGGGGTAAAAATATGCAACATTTAACAAGAAAAACACAAAAAAAAGATTACAGAAAACTAACTGATATTATCTGTAGCAGACATATGTATTTAGTTCTTCTTTCTTATCTTGTTTCTCTTTTTCAACCCCTTAGATTTAACTTGTGGCCCCCATGCTGGGTCCTGGCTCACAGGTTGGGAACCACTGTAGGTCCTCCCGAACCTACGTACCACAATTCGCCAGACAAACTAGTTTCATTTAAGTCAAACATTTTCATTTTTATCAGGAGGAAGTTACCCTCAAACATTATCCGCTCTTACCGGGAGTTTGACGGTCAGTTGGCCCGTTCAGTGGAGCCACACGTCGGGACTGTTAGCTTGGCGCTGTGGGTGTATGGACCCATTTATAGCCAAAATAGGAAAGATGCAACTCCCGGTGAGTACTCGTCTTATTTAACCATATTTAATGTATTTTGTGTCTTGTTGGCTACTACAACCAGGCTAGGTTCATGAGTCACGTTGTTTAGAGTCCAGAGAACCAGGCTAGGTTCATGAGTCACGTTGTTTAGAGAGTTAGAGGGTTTGTGAAACCCCGCGGCTTTATATCATAGCGAGGACTGGACTGCAGGTGTGCTGCTACCTGTGGTCAACAAAGCTAAAGCTAAGCTAGCTGTTGATGGCTAGTAGCTGTTAGCTAAATACACGTCACAGTGTGTCGGTTATACACGCGCAGTTGTTTACTAAAAATTTATTAATCCGGTACAGTTACTAATTAGTTTACCTGTTTAAAAAAAATCAAGTATCACAACATTAAAGTAATGTAACGTTAAATGGATTACTTCCCGTTACTTTTGGGTTACCTGAACACCAAATATGCGAATAGAGACAAGAGAAGAGACGTATCGATAACACAGATTGATATGTGTATAAGATAACAGAACAGTGTAATATTTGAAAAGCATCAGCAGCAATGTTTAAATTGACAACCCGCTATATAATCCCTATTTTTACTAAATGTAACTGTAATCTGATTAAGATTTTTTCTGTCATTGTAATGGATTACATCTTTTTTTTTTAAATGCATCAATTTCAAAGTCATCTGCTACACTTAACATGAAGGTAAAGGAAAGGCACATCGTCTGGCCTGTCAAAATAAACTATTTGGTTTATTTGAAAGAAGCACTAACCCATTGAACTCTCTCTGGAATAGCAAAAGACCAGGTAGACCACACTGAACAATACATTTAAATAAATTACTTACTTTGAAACTGATCAGAAATACTCTTCTGGATGTAGCATTTCTAATTTGTCCTATATATAAATTTAGATTTTAACCTTCACTCTAACACCTTTCAGTAAGGATGGAGTAACCTAGCCTTTGGAAGATTGATTTCCTCCAAGAGGGTTATTGGTTATATATTAATTCAATATGGGACAGTGCATTTTATTTTTAAAAACAGAACAATCACATATTATATGGGACGGTTGGCAACCCTCATTGTCGCATTGTTTTTGCATTGGCATTTGATACATATTATAAACATAGAAAATATATCCACTTTAAAACAAATAATACGTACTCTAAATTATTATTACATTTTCAAGCTACATGACTAATCTGATGTTGTCACATGATCCTGACTCCACCAGTGGATTAAGCAGAAGCACAGTGGATTGTGGGATATTGAGTGCTACAAGTATACACCAGTTATGTCGTCCAAATTCAGGCTAAAGAGAGCTGCATTTCTCTGCTGAATTTGGACACAGCTAGTAAATGAATCCCTACCAGCTCTACCAGATAGTGTAGCATGTGTGCTTTTATTCACCAAAGGTGAATAAGATGTATCAAGTACTACAGCATTATAGCTCAAGTATCTGTATGGCTGTGGACTGGGCTATTTGGAAGATTTCAGCAGATGGTTTAAAGTTACAGAACGACGGTTGGAAGAGCACTTTCGTCTACCTGCTGTTCTTCCTTTGTCTTGTCCTCACTGCTTTTCATTCATTGCTTGAACTACAAAATTTTTTTTTTACAGTATACAGTATATTTGTCGGTTGATACTTTGTCTAGTGCATATACTTTTATGACTAAATGAGGAAATGCCAGAAGCCATTACTAAAAAATGAACTGGGAACACAGTTCTCTAATTTTCACTTCTGCTTTAGCGTATTAGGTAAATTCCCTCATTTGCCTATTTCTTTGCCACCAGGTGCTGAAAGAAATGTAAAATAATGGCTGATGCAGCCGTTGCATGTCCACAGTGAGCTCTTGTTAGTCAAATGCAAAGTACAAGGAAAGTGTATAGACTCTATAAAGAGAGAGGGGCAAAGAATGTTGTTGGGCAGGTTTTTTTTTTCTTTTTTGGGAAGGAAGCTCTTTCCCCTGCTATGAATCAGCTCTGCTTGCCGAAACTATTTTACTGAGAAATTCCCAGTGGCACTCTTATGTAAGTCAGCATTTCCGATGGTCAAAGCATAAAAGATGCATATGTCAAAGACCCAGACACTTTTATGCTTTCCTCTACATGTGGTGCCCTCAGATCTCTCTCAGATTTCTCTTTAATGAAACAAGGAGTGTTTCACACCCTGCAGCATTTTGGTATGTAACATGAGCATTGTACTCACTTCTAGTAAAATGTTATTTTGTTTCATATAATTCGTTTATTTTTCACTTCATATAACAGGAGCCTAAAAAAACCAACTAATTAATACACACCCTGAAAACAATCAAACACACTCATCACTGATACCAGCTGGCAGAAATCTAAGTGAAACAAACAACTATGGATAAAAAGCAAGTCATCATCACCTGGTGGTATGTGAGGTGATTAAGTGAGAAGAATAAAGGCAGGATTAAAGAGACGGCACAGAGAAAGAGGTGCATCCAACCTGGGAAACCAGAAAGATGGCTAAACAAGCACATATCGCCATGACGATAGTGCCTACTGGCAAACAAAAGTTGTCATTGGTACCATGACTAATATAAACCAAGTTATGAGCCACAGCAATATTTAAAAACAATCGTGACACTAGTCAAGCATTGTCATCATGTCCGCAGTAACAGCAAACATGTTTAACCTGATTTTGTATTTCTTTTTTGAGTCAGACTGACCCATATGGTGGATTCCAGCCAGGTAACCCAGCTTTAGTGGGAACTGCTCCAGCTCCAGTGAAAAAGCATAACTGGGTCAGCCTTGGCAGATAAAAGCCTTGACATGGTAAACCTTTTGTTGAAACGAGGTGTTCCCCTCACTGCTTCTCAGTTTTGCCGGATTACGTTCCTTTAATGTTTACAAAAGGGCTTTTGAGACTACACGTGACATGTTGGATGAGCATTAATCAAAGGCAGAGATCTAGGTTTAGATATTTAGATATTATATATATATATATTTAGAAGCATAAATAAAGCACATGCTCATTTATATGGGCAAAAGTTCACACTTTAGTTAGTGTTGAGTAGTCTACACTCACTAACAGACAGGCAGGTCCATACACATATGCTGACTCATATAAAGGGCTTGACCTACTTGTAAAATAAACTGTTATTTAAACACATGCCAAAAAAACAGTGTCAGCTAGGGCTTTATGATAAAGGTAAAACGTGTAACAAAACAGCATTATAATGAGCACATCATCATGATATTAATACTTTTTTTAGTGAAAATAAAAACTGTGATGTAAAAATTATCGTTTCCACTCATTTTTAATCATATCACAGTCGTAATATCTGTCCAAACCCTAGTATCGGCTGGATCAGTATGAACCAAAAATGTTCCTACCTGCACTAAAAACAGCCATGGATCACACCCCTTTTAATACTGTTTAAAGCAAAAGGCAACATACTCTAAAGCATATCAACAGCCTACTGCTCCCATGTAGTTGCATATATAATATCAAAAGCTGACCTGTGAGCCAGTACACTACAGAAACAGGTTGAGCACCAGTAAGCAAACAAGAAGAGCATTTAGTATGGCAGTCTGTCTTTGTACTACAGAATGATAGCAAACACATTACCAGGATATGATATTCAAATGTCCCCTCCAATGCAAACCAGTGACACGACTTGCCCTCATCTCAATGAATATGTTGATCCTATGTCCAGTTGCACTCACCCACATGATGTAGTTGTCCTTCTTGGTAAGGCCCAGATGCACCTCATCCAATACAGAGCACAGAGTAAAAAACTGCCCTCCCTCCCTGGGGGTGACACTCCCCAGAAACTCACTGTCCGCTGTATGTCCTTCGTCCTCTTTCTCTCACCCTCCCTCTCCACTGGCTTAAACTACAAAACCTGGTTTGATTCAGTATCTCTCTTGTCTCTACCTCTCTCTCTCCCCTTTTCTTTCTCCGGCAGTGTAACTGAATCTGGCTTGAAGGGTACCTGACTTGCCCCTCTTTGAAACCCAAGGGCTGTAATAAAGAGTGCTGGTGTGTAGCGTTGTTTCGACGCTTCGCAGAGCTGTTTTTGAATGCCCAAGCCCTGCTGACAAAACAAAACAAAACTAAAGTATTCCAGGGTAACCTGAGACTTGAACCCTCCTCTCGCTCTCTCTCTCGATCACTATATGTCTCTCCCTACCTGTGTGCCTTCCCCTATCTTGTCCCTCCTCCCACACACATCCTCCCTCTCCAGACTTTTTAAACCCTTAGGACACCACACCATCTCTTTTTTTTCCCACCTTTTGTGTCTTTTACTCCTGAGCTCATCTCCAGTGCCTCTTTGCCTCTCAAATTGTACCCAAACATACACAGCCATGCATCTGTATAGATACAAATACATGCAAAACTGTAGACGTGACACCCATAAACCCAGACACAATATGAAGTTAAGAGTGGTGTGTGTGTGTAGGTGTTTGTGTGTGTGTTTGTGCGCGCAGTAACATGCCCTGAGGCTGAGGTGTGTGTCTTTTCTCATGTGTTTTGACAGATGTCAGTTGGTATCAGTCAGGAGTTCCTGTCTGACATCAGATTGTGACTCAGGCAATGCCACATCACATAACAGGAGCGCAGGAATATGACAAACACACTCAATGCCCTACTACAGTCTACAGCCATGCTAGGCCCAGCAGTGATTTAATGCTAACACATTTTTTGTTTTGCAGGTATAATATCTACAGTGTACACAATCTTAGTGTAGCGTGTTAGCATGCTACCATCTGATAGTTAGGACTAAACACAAATATCAGCTGAGACTGAATGTCAATAGGTATTTTGTCATGAACCAAAGTATTGGATAAATAAAAACTGACATGATGATAGCGCTAAATCGAAAGAAACCAAAGTTATTACAATTTATCCTGAGGAGGACATGGATGTCTGTACATAATTTCATGGCAATTCTTCCAATAGTTCACTAATAGTTCACTGAAACAATAGTCATGGTGGTGCGAGAACAAGTCCCAGAGTCACCAAAGTTATTAGCATTCATCCTGTGAGTCGGCACAAAATTTCATGTTAATTCATCAATAGTTGTTTAGATGTCCAAGAATGCTGCATTTATAAACACACCTAAGTCGGCTCTGCTTTAAAAAAACAACAACAAATAACCTGTTCTGACACCACTGACAAGATTATGGCCTGAAGTGAAACATGCATGATTGTCTCAACTCTAACTAGAAACAGCAGCATATTTCTGCCCTATGGGTTTGAAGTGTTAAACCACCCTACAAGGATACACTTAATGACTACTCTGGTCACTAGGTCAGTGCTTCTAAAAATTAAGCCACTGTGAATGTTATGGGACACTGAGCATAGACAACTGACAACTGATGAAAACTGAGAGAGCGAGGTTGGCTGAAGAGAAAGAGTCATTGTTAGAAACAGCAGCTGATTGTGTCGCTTGACCTGGACTATTAAATGCAATGAACCTTAACGCTCACTCCCAAACTTTCCTCAATTACTTTTTACTAACCATAAAACTTGGTCTATAAACTCAGCAAATGTCTGACGGTATACAGTACGTGCACAAATAGATTGGTAGATAAGTGTATTAATGTAGGTAGAGAGCTTTCTGAATGGATCAGTTTGAGGCTGATGACTTCTGAACGTTCTCCACACAAGCTCTCTTTCAACCAATTACCTCTGTTAACCTTGTTGATATTCAGGCTTTCATGCACTTGCCAAGACATTTAGAGGCTCCACCCTGGTATGATATCTTATGCACTGACCTCCTTTTGGGTGTTTGCCTGACTAAGCGTAAGTCAATATAGTGTCATTTAGATAGCAGTTGTATCAGTTACATCTGTTATAGAATGACAAAAAAAGACTATATCGTTTATCATATACTGTCATCAACTCTATGTACGGTAAATCACCCATTTTCTTTTTACAGTGTAACTCACATGAAGTCACAATGACTTCAGTCTCACAGTCACAACGTTTATCCTGGCTGACATGGTTGAACAATAGCTGACAAGATGTTTGCACATGCTTAAAAGCACAATTCTGAGATCTAATAAATCTATTGTACGCCCTTCTTTGATTCATTGTTCAGAGTCAAACTGCTTAATTTTGTTCATAATCCCATCCGTGCTCACAGCCCACTCATTTGTTAATTATTCTACATTTTATTGTCAGTGAAACCATTTGATGCCGTCACTACTGTTTTCTTTTGAAACATGCGTCCATGTAAATCACAAGGACAACTAAATATACTGTTGACCTCCTGAACATTTTATAGTCCAGATAGGTTACATATTAACAGATTATTTTAGGGCTATTGCTATGATGTTTGTATCCACAGTATAAATATCTACCAACTAAGAGAACTGGAGCTAAAACTATTCAATTTAAATTATTTGTTGTTTGCACAAACTACTGAGCAACCTAAGCAGGTATCTTACAGCGTGATCTTTGATCACATTGATTTCTTTTGATTACAAGATCAATTTTGAACAAAGCGAAAGAAACATGAAGATGGAAAACAACTGTTGTCTAATGAAAATAAAAATCAAATCTCTTACTTGCAAAACAACATATTAAATTGTACTTAGTTCATTTATTTTAATTCAACATATACACAGAATTTGAGACCTTCAAACCTTAACTTTAGTTCATGTTTTATACATTTCACGACCACAAGGAACACTAACACACTGTCATCAAGCAGTACTGAATAACACTGATTTCAAATCCGGACCTCCTTCAAAGCTTTGTGCATCCTCACCAGACTTGCAGTTTACTAAAGTTGAGTTATTTTGGCTGAATTTGCGAAACACCACAACATATCTAAAAATCATCTACCACTCATATAGAATACCTTTCATTCTTCTATTCTCAAACACAATCATTTTTTAAAAATGTGATACAAACAACAATTCTCAAGGTGCCAGGACTGCAGAAGTAATAGTAGTAGTAGAAGATGTAATAAAAAGCAGATAATGATTACACACAAAAAGGACAAAATTCCTCATACTACTGACCTCTTCCTCACCTGTAAAGTAGCTGTCACTTCTTGTCAGAAAAGCAAAAAGCATCTGAAGGTTAGTGATCAAACTGGTAGAGAAAATGTTTTTCCTGGTGGCTGAAGTTCAGCATCTTTCTCTGTTTAGTTTCTCAACTGACCTTTTATTGTTTCAACAGGGAACACCCTTCAGTTCCTTCATTCCCTGCCCTCCACTTCCATGCAAACAAATTATCTCTCCCGTTTTCTCTCTCTCTCTCTCTCCGACACAACATACACACACACACACACATACACCCCACCTCAACTTACCATCAAAGCCATTACACCACCATCTCCCCACCAGTCAAGGCACTTTCTTTGTCTGCACAGGTGTGCATTTTGTGAAATCTGATATTATGTCCGAGAAACGTTTGGGGAAGTGCTGTTCGATAAATAGCTGTTAATAATTAACGCCTTCACATTTGTTGCTCCCTGAACTCTAAAGAATGACTGTTGTCCCTTTCTTATCTGTGAAAGCCACATTTTAACAAAATGCTCTTAACAAAACTTTTTTTTTTCTTTCTGAAAAAGGACCAAATATTGTTAGAAATGCTTCAAATTTAAAAGAAAAGTGTCTCAAAAGGCCATTTTCAAACTGAATGCTGATCCATTTTTGTTATGAGATTGATTTTAGGGTAAATAGAGGAATTTAAAGAAATGGAACTTGGAACATATGAATGACATTTCCTATATACAAGACAAAAGAAGAAGGGGAAACAGACATGAATAGACTACCAAGAATGTCTGTGATAATACACAATATCAGTCCAAAATTGTCTGCATTTACTATCATGAGGTTTAATTGTGATCCAGGTCCTGCATCATTGTCCTTTGGGAACGCAAAACATTTGAGACATATTGTGTCAGCTATTGCCCACCTCATCTAACCGACAATTTCAGTTGAATGGTTTTACAGTAGGAGGAAGTTCTTGTGCTATCTGCTGAGAAATCAGAATACATCACTCGTTATGCAACATAAGAAGGCTGCATGTATCTGCAATCCATCATAGTAGATCTATTATTGCCTTTATCACTGTAAAGAGTATCAGTGACACTTCTCTCTGTGATGTGATGGTAAGATGAAATTATTTCCTGGAAATTTGCTGCCATGTTACCAAGAAGTCCAAAAAAGATTTCCTGACACTTACTCTTACTGCCCCGCTCTGCTCATGAACACATAGACACACAGACATAGGCTTTCAAATTAATATGTTGACCCACTGTTTTGTATGTCATCTATTTCTACTGATATTTCAATATATTATTTAATATATTATTTATTAAATAAAACATCAGACTTTGTCAGGGAACCATTGTTTTTTTGTGTTTTCATATATCTACCAAACCAAACATTTAGCCTGTCAAGATGGAACCAGGCACTTTATATATTCAGTCAATAGCACTCCTCTGGCTGTAGCCTAAATATGAAGCTACAGCTAGGAGAAGGTTAGCTTAGCTTCGTATAAAGACTAGAAGCAGGAGGAAACACATGTATGTATTAAGACAGTTCTCATAGTGCATCCGGGGCAAACAAGTTAAACTTCTTTAGAAAAGTCTTTACACTTTTTTTATGCTTTAGTTTTTTGAGTGATGTTTAGTGGTGTGAAAATGACCGTTTAATAAACCTACTTCTTGAATAAAAGTAAAAAAGTACCTAGTTAATAAATGATTATTAATCAAGTACGTAGTAAATTTACTTTCCATTTTAATATTTTTTGGAGTGTGATTACTGCACTACTGTTTAAATAGGGAGAGGTTTTGGAGACAGCCTAAGCCCTGGTCCACACTGCCTGCTTCTGCAGTGCATGTGTGTGGTGGAACGTCTTGGTTTTTATTTAGGCGCCCATTTTGATAGATGAGAGAAGACACACTGCCCGCTAGAATCACGTATCTCAGCCGCGACTTTCACTTGAGTTCTGCAGGCCGTGTACAGTTTCCAGTAACTAGACACTCACTAGACAGTGAAAAAGATCTGTTCATAGTCATATCGACATTATACCAGCAACATATACACTACAATTACAGTTTCAATATCTGTATATGTAGAATATGTGACAAAAACATAACATAAATGTTT